TTAGGGGTAGACACCAACTCCTGTCTTGTGGTGAGTACCTCCTCAGGTTGGCTGTCATCGGGTTAGTTGGGAGCGCGTTCAGACACATGGGGTGCACTAACAGTGTGTTCCTGTTTTTGACTGTTGGTTCTCAACTATGGGTGCAATTTGAAATATTTTTTCTGCGGGTGTCCAAACATCTTGCAGTGCTTGCAGTAGTAAGGTTTTTGTTCCATAATAATTTTTTGCCAATAACCATTGTGAGCAAATCCAAACCAAACTTCTTCAATCCAAATCCAAACCAAACTTCTTCTACATCTGGTAGTGTAGTATCTCTTTCAATCAAAATTCTTACAATAGAGGGCCTTGAGAAATGAACTGTAGGTAAGTTTATCTGCAAAGGTTTTCCAGGGATAGTCCCAATTGCATATAAGATAGATAAGTCAAAGAATTGAAGCTTTAGTTCAAGTAATAAGTACCAGATAGGTGCAATTAGAGGTTCTTGACTGAGATCAAAATTAGGGGTCCATTTGAGCAATTTCATATATTTGATCTCGATTGTGATGAATTTCTTTGAGAAAATTCTCTTGTAATCTTATTCTATGCTCAACTGTATCATAATATACCTTCTGTCGAAATAATCCACCTGCCAATCCCCAACCAGTTTGAAATCTTCAAAAATCTTTCTGATGATCTCCATCTTAGGGCAACCCAATTTGTACTTTCTAACTAGTGTAAATTTGTATTTTCTTGCACTAGTTAAAATCTCAACGTCAGAGAAGAATATTGTTGGTTTACCCGCCTTTTTCTCTATTTTTTTGATGAGATTTTTTTTTGATGAGATTGCAATTGCAATCGTCATTTCCTGCAACAGAATCGGGATACATCTGCGGGAATACTGGACTATCTGCGATGTGGAAAGGGGAGCTGCGTTTGTGGACCATTGTAGCATAGGAGGGTTTGGCGGGTCTTCTTCTTGGCTCTGCTTTTTTGGTGGCTTGTTTTGCTAAAGTTTTTGGCGGGTCTTCTTCTTTGGTGGCTTGTTTTGCAAAAGTTTTTGGCACTGGTTTGCCCACTATTTGGGCTGCGATTTTGGGGGTTCGTTGGATGGTTTTATTGTATATAGTGCTGCAGTTTTTGGCACTGTTTTGCCCATTGTCTGGGCTGCGATTTTGGGCAATTTTAAGACTACTTTGTGGTTTGTAAGGATACATTTTTTTGAGGCCCTTTCATGCCCTTTTGGGCTGCTGTTTTGGGTGTTTTGGTGGTCTGCCTTGTTATTGTTTTGGGTGTGTTTAGAGACCTGTTTGGTTGAAACTTTTGAAACATTTTGAGGCATGTTTGGTTGCAACTTTTGGAACCTTTTTAAGTTAGTTTGACTATTGTTTTAAATGCTAAGTCGTAGGTTACTATTATAGAGAATGAGAGGGAGGGGAGAAATTACTCATCAGCTTTTACATGAAAAGTATGGGTACTTTTTATTTACCTCGGGAAGAGGCTTAGGTGTTGAATTTCTTATGTCGGAATATCAGAGTTTCCGAATATATCCTTTTAAATTCATATTGTAGGATGTTGAAAATGATTTTAAATGCAATTTTGAGGGTCGATTCACCCTTCACTTCTTTGCTTTTTCAGATGGATTAGTCCGTCCTCTCTCTCACCCAATTTTTCTTCTTTTCTTTCCTTGCTTCTTGGTTTGATTTAGGTGCTTATATCTGAAACATAAGTGTGCATATATAGCTTAGACTATTTATGAACCATCAAGCAAAACTATAAGTTGGATGGTTCTTTTTTGGGTTTAAGTGTCGTGATGACAAAGACATTTGTTGATAGAGCTGATTAATATTGCATCCTACGACATCGGGACCCGACCTAGGGATCTGGTGAGAATGTAGAATGACAATATTATTCACCGACACTAGACTAGCAAGAACACTTGCCTTTTTAGGCTGCTAGCGGTCTTATAGTCTGACAGAGTAATCGACTCGTGGATGATTTATCTTTTCAAAATACACAAATATAACGTCAGAATAAATATTTTCTTTACAACGCAAATACTTTTGATTACTAAACAAATAAAAACTATTTTTGTTTATATGCATGAAAAACCACAAACTTTAAATAATATAATATTGTCATCCACTTGTCAATTATCTGTGTTGGGTTGAGGATTGCCCTCCTAAGATTATCTAATTAGAATTTTCTAGTTGAATGTAGGGCTTTATGCACATGGATGACCGATGGTTGTCTACGGAGTCTTTCGGGAATATTAAAATCCTAGCCCACTCCAAACCTGAATTCTTATAGTTCACTTCAGTCTTTTATAGTTCACTTGCTATTTTCTTCGGGTCACACGTGTTTTTTTTCGAGTTTTCCATATGATGCTCTGTCATTTATTCTTTTATATATAAATGCATGTTTGCCCCACTTGCTAAATTCTCTACTATACTCGTTTACTTTTACCCGCGACACTAATTCTATTTGCAGGAGCAGCAAACACCCCTAGGTGCGCATGTTTATTTTATTTATTGCACTGTATACTGCCTTTTCCTTTACAATATATTTTATTGTTTATTTTCTTTACTGCACTTCCTACTGCATTTTTTTACTGTGTTTTTATAGTTCTTTTATTCCTGCACTTGCTTATAGAATTCGTAAATCGTTTAGGTTATAACCTGGTTTAGGAGATAAATTGCAACAAGCCACCGACTTAACAATATTGCACGCTCACATATAAAACATTAAACTTGAAACTGTTGTTACATGAAGCATGGATAAAACCTTTGTGGATAGTACGACGAAGATGTGGACGGAGGATGACGATCTACAACAGTAAAATATGGTCTACTTCAGCTAAACTTCTCCTTAGTTTAAATAACAAGCCATATGATTGCGAGGTAGTCCTTATAGTGCAGCATAAATCCTCACAATATCTTTAACTTTTTGCACAACTATGTTGTGCATCGTAAGTTCTAACTTTTTAAGATTCCAAGGTTTTCTTTCGGTGCGGCGTAATTCTTCACATCTTTCTATGCTATTTGTACGATCAGATATCGTGCAAGTGTAAGTCATAAATAATAAAATCGGCAAGATTAAACATTAAATAAATTCACTTCAAAGACATAAAGTCAAACACTATGATAGATGTGAAGTCACCAAGATTCTCCTCGTATCCGTGATTTCTCCTACCTTTCACTTTTTTGGCCTCTTGAAAATAAATGTTCATATTTTAAGTTATTCCCTTTTGACTTTCCTATGTTCTACCTTGGAAACTAAACTTCGAAATCTTGAAGACAGAACCACTGATCCTAATCAAAAGTTTTCTTAAGTGAATTTGTTCATTTAAGACGTAATTAACCATAGAGGCTTGCCTCTATAAAGAACTAAGAACCCACTTAAAATAAACTCTATATAATACTTATATAGATAGGGGAACTTGTCGGTCACACAAAAAGTTTCACAGATCAAATGAATGTCACAAACTCTTTTGTTCAGGTGGTTAAACCTACTACTAGTGATATGCTTATCCTTTAGTACAATGTATTACTTGCGGTATCACGCTCAACCATCTAAGCTATCAAATATATGGGATCGATTTGACCTCATTTGTTTCAAAATTAAAATATTATTTTTAAAATCAAAATCACCTATATATATTAAAACGATTTTTCAAATCTAAAATATTTTCAAATTTCCGGTCGACAGGTGAGTAGAAATGATGCTAAATGTTGTGGTTAAGCCAAACGATGAAGAATGCCCTAATTTTGCCGTAGAATTAACCTGACTCTAAGACCATGATTAAAAACTTGGGAGGGAAGAATCACCTTATTTTTTATTATTCAAACATAATGTTACATACATACATAAGGAAACCAGTCTCTCCTAATTTACAATCTTGCTAATTATATATAGCCTATATATACAATAACAACAACAACAACAACAACAAAGCCTTAATCCCACTACGTGGGGTCGGCTACATGAATCCTTTTTCTCCATTGCGTCCTATTTAGTGTCATATTTTCATTTAGTTCTAGTAAATTAAGATTATTTTTAATACAATAAGCCCAAGTCTAGGTCTATCTCTGCCTTTCTTAAAACAAGTCGAATCTAAAACATCTACTCTCCTAATTGGATCATCAGATGGTCGACGTTTAATGTGACCATACATCTAGCATATGTATGGAGAGGAAAAATTTCTGAAATAAACGTAAATAGAAAGAGAATAAAAACTATTCCAGGAGTTTCTAAAGTTGTCTCCAATTAAGCCCTCCATCAATCCTTAGGTTTTCGGCCGACCCACCGTGAAAATGAGGCTGGTACTCTTAGATTTCACTGCATGCATTGGAGTTTTCCATTGTAGTCTCCAGGTAGTTAAGAGGATGATCATTCAATTTCAACTTTATCATGAACCTAAGCCATTTGACATGCTAGTCTTTTGAAGCTTAAAGAATTTTTTCGTTAAACTATTGACATACGCTATAATTTAGTTATTTTTGTTGGTTGTCACGAGATTCATTTGAATTCAAAAAGCTTGATTGACTTTTTGTTCATTCAAGAAATGTACACAAGTGCTACTCCTGTAAGAGTCTCGATGGGGTAGATCCATCTCTATAATGTTGTTTAATTAATCCATTAAACCTGAGAATATTTATAATTTTAAATTATAAATGGCATATTTTTTAAACTTCAATTGCATTATTCTTCAGCATTAGAGAAAACATGTGACAAACTCTCCAATGAAATCTCAAATTAGTACGATGGAAAGCCCTTTTGTGACCTTTTGTTTGTGACGTATAAATCGTACGTTTGGCTTGTTTTGTTTTAATTGTATAAATAAACCAGTGGCCTGAGAGAATGATAGCTTGGTTATCATTGCTATGTTGAATTATAGTTTCTTATTCTGTGAAGAAGTATTAATTTTTTTTTGAATACAAGAATGTTTCATGATGTCAAAATCATTTTTATTGTAATTTTTTATTGAATTTTTAATATTTAAAATTTTTATTTCTATCTTGCAGCTGGGCAAGAGAGATTTAGAACTTTAACGAGCTCATACTACAGAGGAGCTCAAGGGATTATAATGGGTATGTGATGATATTCCGCTTAAATTTTATTTTCAGCGATGGGATATTTCTTGCATTTATGGTTGAGCATGCTACTCTGAGAATATATTTCTTTGATTGAACCGGAATATAAAATATGATTATTTTCTTGCATCATATGTAGTTTAGCTGATCTCTTCAGTGATATTCATCCATTTCCGCAAGCTAGGCATTCAAATGTTTTTTTTTTTTTAAATTATTTAAATTTTATAAATTTGTGTATTAAGATTTAATCTGTTTTTATGTAAGCGGATTTAATAGGAATGGTGATCACTAATGCTCTTATTGTTGTTTTGTTCGCAGGGAGGCTTACAACTTGATAAACATGGGTAATATATAGCTCTAAACATAACAATGATTAATATAGAAAGGAATAATTCTTGATACAGAATTTATGACGGCACCTTGTTGACAGAGTTTAGGCACAAAAAAAAAAAAAAAAAAAATAAAAAATAAAAAAACTGAATTTTCTGTGCAAGAATTTCTTTCGAACTCTTCCCAATTCATATCCAAATATCAATCACACAAATTATAATTAACTAAACTAGGCACGCTACCACATATACAAGTGCAAGATGTATGAGACGTGCTAGGCTAATATGTGATTGATAAAATATTAAGCATAATGTAGATTATATACTCAAACTGGCAAAAATTCTTTTAAGTTAAACAACCTACAAGTGCAAGAAGACAAGTGTCTTATGGTGTTGAATAAAAAATAAGCAATATTGTCCTAGTAATAATACTTTTGAGTACAGATAATTGATTTGCTCAATCTTACAAGCTTTGGAGTCTGTTAAATCACAAACACCCAAGTACTCAGCAACCATACAAGTGGGATAAACACTTAGTTTATTTCTTCAAATCTTTCTAAAAATGGACACCATAAGCCCTTTCTCTTTATGTTTTCATTGATAGTTTTTATCTCTTATAATGCACCATTTATAGACTAGAGGATGGCAAGGGAAAGGTTCAAGATCGCCCTAAGAAATCTTCTTAGAAAATTCTTTATTGGCTACCAAATCAGCCCCCACCAATGTCTAGTTTTTCAAGTCCTTCATGGATAAGTGATCAAGCTATTGGGTTCAATCTCTTAACTTTTTGTTTTCCTTTTTTTATTTACTATTTTTTCTTTTAAATGATTTTCTTATTAATTTTTTAATTCATTTTTTATATTTTCTTTTCTGTGCTTCATGAAAGGATTGAGGTTACTCGAGTCAAAGTACTAGAAAGTTTTAGTGAAAGTTTTCTGTTGAAAAATATAAATTTTGTATGATTTTGTGTTTTATGATTATATATTTAAATTAATTTGTTGATATTTATAGATCCTTTTTATTGTGTTTAATTTCTAAGTTTATTTTTTCTTTTCAATTTGTAGATTATGCTTCACCTTTACAACGCCGAACACCAATTTTTCTAGTTTTATCTTTTAATATTGGTAAATTTTAATAAAATTAAATCAATTTTACTATGTTCATTATCTTGAGTTCTTCATCACATCATACTCTATCAAATTATATTAAATTGCATCTTTACTTGCATATTAAGCTAAATTTTCTTAGATATTCACTTCTTCATCTTGAGCTTGTTTTCAAGTTGCAAGTGCTTGAGTTAGCCTGGTGGACAATAATATCTTGATTATGATTTGAATTTTAATTGTATTTATATAAATCACATAACATGTCCTTAGATGACTCTGCACAAGTTTTATCATCCTCAAATCAGTACTAAACAGATCATAACATTTATGATGATCATGGAGGCTAATCGCTTGAAAAGTTGATTTCCAAAGCTTTGATTTCCAAAGCTTTGATTTCTTCCTTTCTTCCTACTTGAATTTGACTTTGATTATAGTTTCTCTTCTTAAATTCTTTCTTTTGGTTTGAGAGAATTGAATGGACATTTTGTTTTTTTTTCCCTTTTATTTTTTTTTTGGTGTGTTGGTGGTTTGTTGGGGTTGGGGGGGGGGGGGGGGGGGGGATGTTTTTAAAACTATTAAGTTGAATATATAAGAGGGAGGTTTTCCTTGCTTGAAAGGAAGCGCTACTATTTAGTTTTCTAAAAGAATGACGTTGGTTCTCATGTTTGATGCAACTCTCTTATCTTTGATCATGATTTGTGTACATGTTGAGACTATGCTGCATCAACATTACTAAATCATGAATAATTCTATTCCATAAAGTTAAAATTAAGCCAATTATCTGCTCGGTATTGTTTAAATATTTCTAAATTTACCCTAGTCATCCAAGTATCCTTAGAGGGAGGTTGATTATTCCATTTAAATATAAATTCATGAGAAGAATCTATAGATATGGAAGTTTCATATGAGGTATGAACTTCAAAATTTTGGAAATTTGAATGGATAGGCTCCGGTAATGAATGACCTTGGTTTGCCATAGAAGGGTTAGTTTGCGATTTACAAGGCCGTAGATTCCGTCCATATGTTAAACTATCATTTACATTGAAACATGACTAAAACACATTACCAAAGGAAATTTAAGGAAATAAGCATTTGGTTCTAAATATGAAGCTAAATTTGAAATTTTAGAAGATAAATTTGGAGTAATGGTTAAGATAAAATTTTTGACAAAATGGAAAAACTAAGCCTTTGGAGAGAGAGAAAGAGAGATTGAGAGAGAGAGAGAGAGGGGGGGTCAAATAATGTAAGGAAGCTTAAACTTTCATTTAATTAATTCATATGTTGAATATATGAGGAGGTTTTCCTTACTAAAAAGGAAGCACTACTCTTTAATTTTGTAAAACAATGATAATGGCCCATATTTTTTATGCAAAGCACTTTTCTTTGATCATGGTCTGTGTACATTTTGAGGCTATGCTGCATCAACTAGATCATGAATAACCCTGTTTCATAAAGTTAAAATTAAGCCAGTTATCTTCTAGGTATTGTTTAAATATTTCTAAATTTACCCTAGTCATCCAACTATCCTCAGAGGTTGATTATTCCATTTAACTATAAATTCATGAGAATAATCTATGGATATGGAAGCTTCATAAGAAATAAGACCTTCAAATTTTTGGAAATTTTGATGGAAAGGCTCCTGTAATGGCTTTGGTTTGCTATAGAAGGGGTTAGTTTGCAATTTACAAGACTGTAGATTTCTTGCATATGGTAAACTATCTTTCACATTGAAACATGACTAAGAAGCATTACCAGAGGAAATATAAAGAAATAAGCATTTGGCTCTAAATATAAAATTAAATTTGAAATTTAAGTAGATAAATTTGATTTGCGAAGTAAAAATAGGGCTATCATATTGATGTGGAACTTACTGAACATAAGATATAAATTTGAATGATGCAGTGAAATAAAAATTGAAATTTTAGAAGATAAATTTGATGGAGTAATGGTTAAGTAAGAAAAAATATTTGACCAATCAGAAGAACTAAGATTTCGGACAAACTAAGTTAAAGATCTTGGTGTAGAAATCTCCCATATTATTTCTTTTTTTCTTAATGATCTCATACAAAATCCATCTTATGGTAAGCTTTTAGTTCTGGAATGTTAAATGATTTAGTAGAAAAAATGTTTGTGATATGTATTTTGCGGATACCAAATTGAAATTTTAGAAGATAAATTTGATGGAGTAATGGTTAAGTAAGATAAAATATTCGACCAAATAGAAGAACTAAGATTTCGGACAAACTAAGTTAAAGATCTTGGTGAAGAAATCTCCCATATTTTTCTTTTTTTCTTAATGATCTCATACAAAATCCATCTTATGGTAAGCTTTCGGTTCTGGAATGTTAAATGATTTAGTAGAAAAAATGTTTGTGATATGTATTTTGCGGATACCAAATTGAAATTTTAGAAGATAAATTTGATGGAGTAATGGTTAAGTAAGATAAAATATTCGACCAAATAGAAGAACTAAGATTTCGGACAAACTAAGTTAAAGATCTTGGTGTAGAAATCTCCCATATTATTTCTTTTTTTCTTAATGATCTCATACAAAATCCATCTTATGGTAAGCTTTTAGTTCTGGAATGTTAAATGATTTAGTAGAAAAAATGTTTGTGATATGTATTTTGCGGATACCAAATTGAAATTTTAGAAGATAAATTTGATGGAGTAATGGTTAAGTAAGAAAAAATATTTGACCAATCAGAAGAACTAAGATTTCGGACAAACTAAGTTAAAGATCTTGGTGAAGAAATCTCCCATATTTTTCTTTTTTTCTTAATGATCTCATACAAAATCCATCTTATGGTAAGCTTTCGGTTCTGGAATGTTAAATGATTTAGTAGAAAAAATGTTTGTGATATGTATTTTGCGGATACCATTGTAGGAATCATGATACCCCATCCCTAAATCTAAGGTTTTCAATAGATCTAGGTTTGTGGATTTGGATAGATCAGGAATTCTAGAGACCATATGAATGTGGATATGAAGGATCATTTGAATGTTAGAGATTTAAGAATCTAAAACCCTCAAAATCTTTCTAAAGAATATTTTTCTTGTGATGACCATGATGAGTGATTGGTAATCATAAAAGTGATCATAAGTTTGTTGTAATCGACATCATGGTGAATATGAAAAAAATAAAAGTAAAAAGACTAAAGGTTAATGCCTCAATTTATATTGTTAGATATGGTTCAAAGTGTTTTTTCTTAATTGAATATCTAATGTTAAGGATCTCTTTGATTGGTATTCGATGACTAGTGCATTAGATATGAGAAGATTAAATTGGTAGGAGCTACTAAAAGATTTTAGCTAGGAATCTAGTTTGGTATTAGAAAATTTGGTCGAGTATTTTTTTATAACCCCGGCTAGTATGAAATCTAGAATCGATTAAGAGAGATACGTACCTACTTATTCTTATTCTAGAATAGTTAACTTCTTAAGTTGAGGCAAGAATATCAAGCTAATATGAATATTTCAATCAAGATTTGCTAGAAGAGACATGGGCAGTAACATCCATTGCTGCTAATGGTCTCAACTTAAAATTAAAACAAAAAATGTCTTTTTTTATCACAGGACAATAGCTAAATCTCACCTTCAAAGTGGATAAGAGATTGCATGTTTCCTTTAGAAAGAATGACAACTAGTTTGTCACTACTAGGATACTTCCAATTGGATCTATTAAGTTAGTCGTTGATTGCTTTATAGTTTGACTTACATCTATGCTCTAGAAATTTATTAGCAATGATTAATCCATTGCTTTGTATACTATTGAGCATGTTTCCTATGGGTTTCGAGTAAAAGGTCATATAGGACTCTTGATACACTTTTAAATGTCACACCTCTTACACAAGAATGAACTTCCAATTTGCAAAGGTGAAAATATTAAAGGATTTGAAGATAACAAGTCCTTTTTTGGTGTCAATTTATACACATTGATAAAAAATAAATTGACATCTTACACAGTCTTTAATATTTTTGTATGAATTAACCTAAATCTAAAACAAAATCTGAATGTGATTGTACAATTGAAATTTAATCTTACAACTTAAAGAATCGCATCGAATTTTATTCCAATCCAATAGATTTCTTGATTCATCTCCTATTCAATATTTAACCATTGCATAGCTTATAGTTTCTTCATTCCTCGGGTAGTGATTTTATTGTATTGTTTGTTAGGCATTTGATTGAATTTTATACTAGTTCTAAATGATTTTTTACGAAACTAAAATCATATGATTGTCATGCAAGGGTATTATAGTGTTTGTGATACTTTCACGAACAACTTTAATTTAGTTTGTTTATTTTTGTGCATGATTGATATGCTAGCTATTTGTCTTTCCTTTAAAGCTTTATTACTTTTTATTGAGCAAGGATCGAATATATTTGTTCATGTTTTATCCTTTTAACATTAACGTTGATTGTCCTTCTGATAATGCATCTTTGTTATGGAGTTGTTGAACCTTCAAGTCATAGTTCTTGTTGTTACTATTTCCATAGTTGGGCTTCTTGTAGGCCATGATGCATTTTTTGTTTCTTTTTCACGAGGGCTCGATATGACAAGATGAACATATCATCTATTTGCAAAAACTTCCGAATTTTTGACCGAGTGTCTTCCCATTCCTTCTATTGGAGGGATTCCACTACTTTCAATTTCTTCCTACTTGACGGCATTGATGGAAGTGACTATCAATCGGCAAATTGAAGATGATGATTATTTATATATATATTGTGTAGTGTCGCGTATCTCTGCCTGTTGGTTGGCATCCTCGGTGTAAGACCCCTCAGGTCGGGGTTTCAAATCCCCTCTGGCATAGTTGGCCTTAAGGAGACGGTACTCGAATTGTTAGGCACATTTGAAGTGGTTAGAGGCTCGTAAAATAGCCTCTGGCCTTTCCTCTTAAGATATATATAGTAGTCTATATACATACATATGCATGCATATACATATATACATAAATTTCAAAATTCATTAATGCATACATATGTTTTGATCTGATTTGTGTTTACATGGCTCTATTCATATCTGAATGAACAAATTTGATTTGAGATGTTCCTAGTTTACTAGCCAACTCATTATTTGAGCTCGACCCCAGCTAGAAGCACGCACAAAATTTTTTTTGACCTTCAATCTTGGAATCAAATTCATACTCAGTCAGAAAACAAACTTTCTTTGTCATCCTCTCTCCTTCTCTCTTCTCAGCCTCCTCTTTTCTCGGCTTCGCCTTATTCCTCTCTCTCTCTCTCTCTCTCTCTCTCTTAACCCCCTTACCCGTTTTTCAGTCTGACTCTCACTCTCACTCTCTGTGGATCCCACATGCATTTTCATGTTATTATTTAGCAAAACAACTAAGCATAAAAACTATCCTTAATGTGGTGCTTATTTATCTTATGATCCAATGTATTTTTTGGAAAAAATTGTTACCAATCAGACGAACTATTGATTTACTTTTGTTGGTGCGAGCATTGCAGTTTATGATGTGACACGAAGGGACACATTCACTAATCTCTCAGATGTATGGGCAAAGGAAATCGATCTCTATTCAACTAATCAAGATTGCATCAAGATGCTTGTTGGTAACAAAGTTGATAAGGTGCTTCTATATATCTTAATACACAATTCTATTGTTTCTAGACTTGGTGGATACTAAAAGCATTTTGCTTGTCAACCTTATTCCATCTTTAGGGGCTTAGCTTCATTTACCTCTTAACAATAATCGATTTCGTAGAAGCTTAGCCCTCAATAGATCAGATAAGGCTGGTGTTCTGATGAATCCATTTCTACTATATATTTATTCACTGTTACTTAATGTGCGTTCTGCAATGTCATCTTTTATGCATATTTTAGGAAAGTGAGAGAACTGTCTCGAAGAAAGAGGGCATTGACTTTGCTAGAGAATATGGATGCCTTTTCCTGGAATGCAGTGCAAAAACCCGTGTTAATGTCGAGCAGTGTTTTGAGGAGCTTGTCTTGAAGGTTTGTGGCTATCATGTACTGAATATATTATGCATTTCTCTTCTTTTTTAGCATATGAACTTGAATCAAACAAAGCCTCATTATTTTTCTCCATGTTTTTTTATCATTGAGTTTGTAGTTGTTAACATGTTTGTATATTTTGTTTTAATTTTCCCACAAATATTATGCTCATATCATATAAAATTCAATTTGCATCTTTGTTTGCTCATCATTTTTTTCACGCTGCCATAAATCATCATTCATAACTAGGGGTGTAAACGAGCCGAGCTTGAGTAAGCCTAGTGTTAGTTCATGTTTGGCTCGTTTGAATTTATTTTTGCTCAAAATCGACTCGTGTTGGAAATGGCTCATGAATTCCATTCGTGTTCGACGCGATTTCATTTGTTCTTTCCAACTCGTGTTCAACTCGAAATTAACTCGAATGATATAAAAAATAATAAAATTTAATATTATTGTAAAAACATCACAAAAAATCAGAATAAAAATTTAATAATATTATTATTTATAATTTAAGCCAAAATAACCGAATACGGTCAAACAGTCTTCTTCTGTTTGGCTCGTTTATAAATCAAACTCAAAAAAATTATTTGTATTTGACTTGCTTGCTTGCTTGCCAAAAAAAATAAGCATGAATTGTTCGTGAACGACGAGCCTTTTTGACAACACTATTCATAACTTGTTACATGGTGATGTAATGTAATTATTCTTAAAGATACCAGCCTTATAAAAAGGAGCATTATTGGAATCATGTTTTATTCTGTCTCTGAGGTAGAAGAACAAACGAAAAGCTGTTCTTAAAATCTGTGCTCGTTTGAACTCTGTTCTGAACATGACAGATTTTGGAGACTCCAAGCCTTCTTGCTGAGGGTTCCGTGGGCTTGAAGAAGAACATATTTAAGCAAAAGCCACCTCCAGCTGATGCTTCTACCAGTGGCTGCTGCTGAATTTAAAAACAACAGATATACTAAATGAGGTTCCAGACGACTTTCTCTTCTCTGAATTTATAAGGTGCAACTCTCCAGTGAATGCTCCGTTGTTCAGGCCTGTAATGGTGATATTAAGGGTATATTTCTTCACTTTATATATATTTTTCGAATGCTTTGTTAATGCCTCTGAATTGTTTCCGCTATTTTTCCATGGTTTTCAACTTGTATCTCCTAAAGTCTTATCTGGAATAAATACCAAGGATTTTGTGCACTTCAATGTTGGATTTTGTTTTTGTAATTGTTAGGATATCTACGTTGATTTTAATGATAAAAATCTGCGTTTGTTTTGGTATGTGTTGTGTTGCGCACAGCCCATGATCAAAGTATTTTGCATTGATGTAGTTTTGAGTGTATATTTTCATTCTGTTTAACTTATTCTCTGAAGGCCTTTTTTTAGGAAAATATATTACGTCCGGAGGTCAAATGTAAGCTGCGTCCGGATAACAGTTGTGATCCACCGGATGCAGCGGAAAAAAATGACCTTCGACGTATCATTACCGTTCAGACGTAATATTTTTTCCTTTGTTTTTTACGGTATGTTCAAGTGTGAAACTGAAGAATCAACTCTAACAGCAAAAGATACACGTGTATAATTCGTGAATAAGCAAGAGATGCTTTTCAAATTGATTTCTGGTAACATTAAAAAGTTATATAATAATTTACGTTTTTATTTATGATTTGTTTATTGCGTCGCAATAAATCATAAAATTGGAAAATAAGAATCAGGAGCGTAAAAAATTGGCCTGATAACTCAATTCAGGTCCGACTCGAGAAGTATGAGTTCGTGTTGACTTAGAATAATCGTTGGGTTGGGTTCGTGTTAAATATCATAAGCTTAATTTTTTAAATCGTGTTTTAGTTGATCAGCCACCTGGAAAATGATCCGATTTATACACGAATAGCTGTTTAAAAGCCTTGTATGGTTTGGGTTCAGGTTGGCGGGTTGACGGGGGGTCATGTTCGGGCTGAGACTTTTGATCCATAAATATTTGAGTCCGATTATTCGGACTCAAACTTGACTGGCACAGTTGAATTGAGACCCCTGAATCAGTACAGATATAATGGAGTATAATTTCGTTAATGGAGGGAAGATATCAATTTCAGAGTTTTGTTGGATAAGTCTTGATCACATGCCCTAAGTTTTCTCGCCTTTACCTTCATCGCTTGCTTTAAGTTATTATACTCGAGAATCTCTTAGGTTTGAAGGAATTGGAAGAGTAAATAAAGGGAAAAGGACAAGGAAATGAATATAACAAGAGGACTTGAGTTGAAATTAGGTTTTACCCATTTATTTATTTGTGAAATCGACTGGTTTTTTTTTTAAATTTCTTAGTGGGCTGTGGAAATTTTAAATTTTCATGTATTATGAGGTGATATTTGATTCATAATGATGCCCTAAAACCCAATAATGATAAATTATATGGTTAGAAGCATCAATATTTCATCTTTTCTATGGTGAGAGGATTTAGGGATTGCTTTGGAGTGTTGAAATATTTTTGGATGAGAAACTTCAAAAGATGACAAGGGGGTGGAAGCAATGGATTGGGATTTGGATGAGTGGAAGTAAGAGAAACCTTAAGCTATGGGTTAGCTTCATAGGGTGCTGCCAAAAGAGAGAGAACTATAAATATGACTCTAAGCCTTTAAGTGTGAAGAATATAGGTAACCTTGGGGCTAGGAACAACTTAGATGTTTCCTTTAGAATGCCTATATATGTTTTGAAAATGTTTATGAATTTTCATGACATTTTCAATATTGTTTTTAATTTTCTTTAGAGATTAGATTATGTGAAAACCCAATATGACAATTAGCTTTGTGGTGGATGTTTGGCTTTTGTGGAGGGGATTAGGGCCTAACAAAAATTGAAAATTCCCTGTTAATAAAAGAAAATTTTGTCTGTTAGATTTGGACCTTTGCATAAATTTTTAGAAGTAGGGTGATTAAAAATCCAAGAGATCGAGATTGATCAAATCTATCCTAACCTTTGCTAATTGCTTGATGTTGAGATTTGGTTAGGGCATTATGAGGAATTAGTGTAAGAAAACTTATGGTGAGAATACAAGAAAGAGATACAAGAATATCACAAAAAGAGCTTGATTTGTTATTATAAGAAGATAATAAGCAAGATAAATAAACCCATTAGTCTAAAAAATAGCAATATAGTGAAAGATCACCAAACTCCCACCTCCTTGGGTCTTAAGTATAGGACAATTTTTTTTCAATAAAAAATCATTTCATTCAAAAAATAATAAACAAATTGTCCCATATATTAATCTTGATTAGAAAAATAAGAAAATAGGGGAAAAGGGGGTGGGCACCTTAAGTAACCATAAAAAAATTCATGATTAAATAATTTCATATGCATTCCATTAATTATTTATTTTATTATTTTACATTTTTTTTTCATATATTGAATTTTTAATTAATATAAATTTGATTTTTTTTTTCTTTCATATAAGTTTATACTAAGAAGATACTAACAAAGTCTTACATACTAAACATCTAATATAAGAAAGCTAAATAATTAATTCTAAGTAGGAGTCATCGTCCTGCCTTTGCTCTTTGTTATTGTTCAGATTATGCTTTTGCTCTGACTCCTTCTGAGGAGTTCATTTGCTTGTCTAGTGTCATTCTACAACATTAAGTTACAAAAAAAATATTCCTCTTCTTTTTTTCTCAATAATCTTTTCACCTATACAATATATATTCCATATATATAGATTTATATTAATATATACATCAATATTTATGTTTTCTACATTTTAAATATCGACCAACAACTAGGGATAAAATTTATTTATTTATTCCATGGATTAAGAGAGTTTTTTTTTTTTTTTGTTATCTTATTATTTTGGATATTTTTAACTTAAAACTTTGTGTCTTAATAAGATACTGATAAAATGACCATAAAATTTTATTATTTTCAAATTTGAAGGAAGAATTCATGTATTGAAAATAAGTTTTATTTTAAAATGGAATCTTTTTTGAATTTTTATAAAACAATTAAATAAATATGTTTGTAAGTTGTGAAAAATAGGAAGAAAATTTATTGTGAAAGGATTGTGTATGCTAATATTAAATTAAGTTTGAGTAAGTCAATCCTAACTAAAAATTAGTTTTTCTCATAGTATAAGTAAATTTCATGATAATCATCTTTATTTTCTTAAAATATATTTAAGAAAATAATAGCCATCAAAGAATCCATTTGCATGCTTAATAATAATAATAATAATATAACTTTTATGAGAAACACATGCCATTTTGTCATTAGTCCTAAGGCTGGTCACTCAAGAGTTTTGTTATCATCCAAAAAGTTGTGTGTTCAAGGATTAATGTATTTGTGTGTGGCTTGTGCTTTTCATTTCTTAAATCAAACTTTCTCAACCACATTGTTCACCACTAAATCCAAGCTTAATGGATAGTCACTTCTTCGAGTTATGTAGTATTTTGGCGCACTGAATAAAATAAGTCACAAAAAAATATTATGGGGTTATTAGATATTAGTTATGTGACCCTATGAGCCTAAGTATTTTCTTGTTGCTCAATAGTAATTTGATGATTATAAAAAATGTGTCATGCCATCTAATAATTTGTTGATCTATAAGTTAATCATAAATTAACAAAAATGTTGATATCGCTGTGTTTGCTAGACTAAATTAGAGTTTTTTATTACTTTGTAATAAAGTGAAGAATTCAATGAATATTTAATGATTAAAATAAGATCCATAATTTCATAGTTTAGAGAAAGCATTTACAATTCAGTTTAAGTTACTCAAATTGGATTTTATCCAAGTATTCATAGTTGATAAATAAAACTTAAATTTTGAAAATTTTATATTATATGTAAAATTTTTTTATTAAAGTAATTATATGTATTAAAAATATTTTGTAAAATATAGCCATATCACTTTTTGCACAACCACAATATGCCCCATTTTCAATATATAATTTGTGATGGATGCTTACATAATATATGGCATAAAATCTTATAGTACATCATATAGTGTCCCAACTTTATTACAAATTCAAGATAAAATTTTGGCTCATAAGGTTTTATTTAACTTATAAAATCACCTAAGTCTTATACACATCATTGATTTGCAATGAATTTTGCAATGCATTTCAATGCATTCCCAAATTAGAAAGGCATTGCAAAATTGGGTACAAAAATAAAATAAGGTGGGACATTTTGTGAATGATTTGGCAAACCCAAAAAGCGAATGCATAGGAGATAAATTTTCTTTTAACATTTTTTTTTTCTTGGGACATAACTGCAATTATATTTTTTGTCATTAAAAAAAAAATTCAAAGCAAGTTACTAGAGATAAAAGTTTATCCTCCTAAGTTTTTATATATCTATTTAAGATTATTTTTAGTTGCACGTATATGAATCACAAGCTTATTTCATCACACAATTTTGTTAAATAAAAAGATTGATCTCTTAAATATCTCAAAAGACTTCTATAACATGAAAGTTTAAATTTTATCAATAACTTATAAGGAAAATAACGTCCATGTAACAATTTCATAAATAAGAAAATCAAGATGATAAAGGATATATAAAATAAAATTAAAGTAAAAATATGAAAAAATGGAGAAAAAAATGTGAAATCAACTATGTTGTTGTTCAATATTAATGGTATATGTACATGAATCAAGTGCTTTTTTTGTAGATTTTCACTAAAATCTTAATGATCTTAGATCTCTTTTAAGTACGAAAGCTAAACCTCATAAATAGCAAACAATCCAATTTTAGAAGTTCAAAAGATATAAGAAAACCATAAATATAACTATTACTAAGCTCTCACAGAACAAAACTACCATTAAAGTTTTATCACTTTAGGCACCAAAATATTTTTATGAGACAAATATTTTGTTTATCTTCTCTGTTGCGCATAAAATATCTTTCATTTTTAAGATATTAAAAAAATCATGTTCATATTAAGTGCATATGCTAATAACTTTTATGTTGTATTTAAAATTTAGATTTTGATCACATAAAAAGATCTACATCATGGATTATGATCACTATTATATAATATAATCTACTTAATTTAGTACAATCTATTTGAATTAATTCACATCAAATCATCTTGTTAAGTCAAGTTCTTAATTGAGTTAATTAAGTAGCCTATCATATGGTACAATTGACATTATATAAAATAATGTATTCAAAGTTTAAATTAATCTAATGAAGATTATTTGGACTATTGATTATATAGAGATAATGA